CTGGCATTTTTTTTAGCTTCTATATGTTACTATGTTTCAAACTGCCCGCTCAGAGGCCAGCAAGGCAGGCGGGGAATGTTGGGTTCCTCTGTCACTGAAGCAAGCAAACCTCATGTGCAGTTTAAGCTGCCTGGCTGCCGGTCGCCATCTTGGCTGTCAGTTAATCTGCATATCTCGCTGATTAGCCAATGGGAAGGGTAGCGGTCGTACGCCAATTACCATGTTTCTCTTTTATTAGTGTAGATATGCATAGCCCATGGACATGGGCAACAGGGTAGTGAAGACCTGGGAGTGTGTGTAGAGGCTGGAAGGAGGGGGATCAATGGGGGGAAATGGGAGACATCTGTAATATTATCAACAATAAAAATATATACTTATATCTATACAGAAGGAAACACTTTTAGGGGAAAAAAGATAATATAAAATTCTCACTAAAGTAATGATTAGATCTCTACGAATTGGCTATAAGTTAAAGAAAAAGCTAAAAAAAAAACATATGAAATAATAATATATAAAAAAATGAATAAATAGGCTTTAATGTACTAATTCCCTGACAAATTAGAAAGAAACCCCAAAATTTGTAGCCAGCTGGTCAGAAGAAAGCTTACATGGGTCAAATAGAGATCAGTTAAAAAATGACTACAGTTCTGAATTGTATCATGACTGCTGAGTGAATAGCTGTTTTTGTTTAAACAATCTGATTTTTAAATTTTAGTAATAAACTTTCAGAACAATGTAAGTTGTAGCAAACAGTTATAATTTCAAATAAATTAATAATGCTATTTTCACCTTCTTAGCCTACATTTCCCTTCTCTTTTAGCTTGCAGAAAGGTTTGCCTTAAAATAAATTACTTTAAAATAACATGACAAAGAAGCCACTTAATAAAGATCTCTTTTTAAAAAGTAAAAACATGAAAAATAAAATATATAATTCTTATAACACATTTAATATCTATTCCAGGCAAAATAAAAAATTGATATAGTACCACCAATTTACAGCAGATTATAATGTTCTACTAGAAAAATAAAGTAGCAAATGTGACCTTTTAAATTAGAAATGTATACAACAGGCACTGAGCAAATGTTAAGAAATCTGACTTTTAAAAAGTGCCAAGATAGAGTAGTTACTTAAATTGATTTTTCTTAGAACACCAATTCTATGGTAGAATCTGCCCCAGGCTTCCTGACAGAATACACACTAAAGAAACCTATGATTCATCACCTAAAAACAGATAAACAACAAAAGCAACTTTTAGTAATCAGTTAACTCCTATGTACAGGAATTTAATTCAATAAAAAATGCTTTTTATCAATAGCTAAATTTTTTGTTGTTTAATAAGGACCTGTCCACAGGGATTCAAAAAAACAATTCACTATATCCCCAAAAGTAACACCAACCAACTCCGCATTATTTTAACATTATGATATCTTTGGCCAAATGGTGTCACTAGTACGATGAAATTTTTAGTCTGGATTATTACAACTATGCAATACTTTTGCAAATGAAATAAAAACGTATTTCTTTAATGAGACTAAAATAGTTCTCTGATTATTCAAGTTCTTAAAATGAATTCAAATGTCATCCTTTCCCCTAATGTTAATATGTCTTTAATAAAATACAATTAAGAGTATTATAATATCTTTAATAATGCAGATTCAATTTGCTCCAGTTACTGCAATCAATATGAGCTACTCTGAATGTGCAACATAATGGGACTCATATCTCATATTGTTCAGGCATTTATACCTTGTTTCTGGCTATAACCAAAAGTGAAAACATAATAAGTAACAAAATGATAGATGTTGATATAAAAAGGAAATGAAAATGTAGTGAATACAATTTTTGCAAATGTGTGTAATATATAAGGATATTGTCATGAGATTTCTAAAATAACTTACAAAACTAAATTCTACTATATAGAGACACCTATAGAGGTAAAGACATCAGTGATTTTTACCTTATACTAGAGGCCTGGTGCATAAAATTTGTTCATGGGGGGTGGGGGAGGGGTCCCTCAGCCAGGCCTGCACCCTCTTGCAGTCTGGGAGCTCTCGGGGGATGTCTGACTGATGGCTTAGCGCTGCCGCAGAGGCAGGAGAGGCTCCCAACATCGCAACTGCACTCGCCAGCTGTGAGCCCAGCTCAGGGCCTTCTGGCTGTGTGGCGCTCCTTGCTGTGGGAGCGCACTGACCACCAGGGGGCAGCTTCTGTGCCAGGTACATGCCCTTGACCGGAATCGAACCCGGGACCCTTCAGTCCGCAGGCCGACGCTCTGTCCACTGAGCCAAACCGGTTTCGGCCAGATCCGGAGTTTTTACTACTGTCTAAGGTCACCTTAAAAAATATTCCTTTAAAAGTTACAAAAACACTTGAAAATATCATTCAAACATTAATAGATTTAATTAACTATAGGAACAAAAATCACAATATAGAAAATATTTTTTCAAAAGCTGTTTTATATAAAAAAAATATTTTCATGACTTAAAATTCTGATTATAGCAAATCCTTACCAGGGCTTCCAAATACATATCTAGCTTATACCAGAAGACAAGCTAGTTACATAAACTCAGCTCATAAAACTTAACCAATGCATGCAAAAAAGCCAAATATTTACAGTACAAAATGATTACCAATGCCTTCTTTAAGCACCAGATCTATGAAAAGCTTTCTCTTCATCTGATGACTTAAGTTCACAATTAACATTTTAGGTTCCATTAAGAGAGGGAAGCATAACTAGGGTTATGCTCCTTAGAATCATATCGTTTGTTATTGAATGTTACCTTCCAACCTATCAAGTACCAAATTATCTAGTGAAAGAAACCCCAAACTATAAAAAATACCAACAGGATGAAAAAGAAAATGATGAAGCCAGGGATACACATTCTCTTACTGGGATTTTCTCTTTGGTTAGATATTTTACTCTGTTAGAAATTATTTTCTCAGTCTATAAAATCTAGAGATGATTTAAGGTGCTCTTAGCAAATTAACAATTTAAAAATCCTGTGGATTTTATTACAGCAGGGTTTTGCCTATAACTTTTTTTTGCCACGATAATATATATTGAACTTTATAGCATTAACCATGCTATTTTCAAAAAATGACACTTTAAATAAGTATTGTGCTTATGATACATATAAACAGAATAATCAACTTCTGAAACTGAATGTATTAAAATCATCCTAAATATATCATGACTACAGTTACTCACTTGAAATGACCTTTCCATTGTTATTGCAAAGTAGTATTCTCTCCTGGGATATCTTCGCTCACAAACCAACACTTGATTGCAAATTCTGCCCTTTTCTCCTGTTTGCTTGGTAAACAACTTTTTCCCAATCATTTGTGAGGAAACAGCTTTTGCTTCTTCTGGACTGAAATAAGAAAAACAACTCAAATTCTTTTTTCCTCCAAATGAGTAAAACAAAAGCACATGATAGACAAAATCTCATCTCATCTAATACTTAAATCTAAGTATTTTCATCAATTCAATAAATACGGGAATTTTTTACAATGATTTTTTTTCATTAATGGTTTTTCTTCAAAAAACATGACTTACGAGAAAACTATCTTCACTCCTCCTTTGAGACCACTTTCAAATGTTCCTTTTCCTCTACCACCAGCTAAAACCTGTGCCTTTACCACAACATCTTTTGAACCTAGAAGAAAAACACTTCTATTAGATAAAAAGCATGGGGAAGCGTGCAAGACACAATATTTTGTTATTTAAGCATACATATTAAGTGGTGTTATAAACGCAGTAAAGTCATTTATCCACAATGTCAAAAAATAGCCATTCCATGTATGAGAATGCCTAACTCTTAGCTGAACAAAAGTCCTGTAACTAAAGATATGCAGGCCCTGATCAGGTAGCTCAGTTGGTTAGAGCATCGTCTCCATATACCAATGTTGTGGGTTCGATCTCCAGTCAGGACACGAGCAAGAAGCAACCAATAAATACATAAGTGGAACAACAAAATCCATCTCTCTCTCTAACCAATCAAAAAATAATGAAAGAAAAAAAGAAAGGGAGGAAAGGGAAGGGAGAGGAGGGGAAAGGGAAAAGGGAAGGGGAAGGAAAGGAATGAAGAAGTACAGTAGAAGCCACAGAGGCTGGTAGGAGGGGCAAAAAGATGCATCAGGAAGGCCCCATATCCATGATGTGGTGATTAAAAATCAGGAGGGATAGCTTGACTGCAGAATCTCCTCACCATCCACATCCTCGTTGAGGAGTCCCCATGCCTCCCAACAAGGCTCCCCAGCCCAGGGCTACACAGAGGGCTGCTGAAGTCCTAGGCACAAGGATTATTGCTGGACTCACTCATTCTGAGCTCCGGCAATGGGGCAGCAGCTCAAAAAGTGCCAGGGCCACCCAGGTAAGAAATGAATTGTCTGGCTTCAAGGTGAGGGCTGGATTAACAGCTTTCTCCCTGACAGAAATGCAGACAGACACTGTTGTTCCTAGGTAAGCTATTCGTCCACCTAGCCTGCAGGCACAGACAGGCACCAAATCTGAGTCTAAACTGGCTAACACCACTTGCACTACCTTGCTGATTCTCAGAGACTCCATCCAACCCAACTTGCAGGCCCAACCAAGTGACTTCCAGCAACTTTTTAATACAGCCTGTCTCCATTCTGCTGCAAACTTTCCCAAAACCTCTCAAATGTTCCCAACTCCAAACAAGCAGCAACTGGCCATGGCATGCCCCATACCTCTTGCTAAGCAGCCCAAAGACAAGTACTAATGGCAGCTGGCCTCAGTTGGCAGCTTAACCTCTCCTAGGCACCTCCAAGTACAAGGCAATTATCTACAGATCATTTTGTAGCTCATACCAGGTGGCCATGAGTCAGGCACAGGCAGTGGCTGACCTTAGAATGCATCAGAGCCCCTTCCAAGAGGCCCCAGAGCAAATTCAAGTGTTCAGAGCACCCCCACAATTGGCTCCACAAACAACACTCCCAAAGGGCAGATTCAGCAGACACCAATGCCCCAAACAACAACTTGTCCATTGTACTCATGGCCAGTCCTCACAGCAAGTTAGCCTGAGGGTCTATCCAACCCACTGACCTGACAATAGCAATCAAGGCTCAACAACAAGAGCGTCCAAGAACCCACACAAGGGACACCCCAGAGCACCCAGCCCAGGTGACCAGGGATATGGCGCCACTGGGCCACATAGGACACCTACTACGTAAGGCCAACCTGCCCAAATCAGGAGATATGGCAAATCTACCTAATACATAGAAACAAACACAGGGAAGGAGTTAAAATGAGGAGACAAATAGAACAAAACTCCAGAAAAAGAACTAAACAAAACCAAAACAAGCAATCTACCAGATGCAGAATTCAAATCAGTGGTCATAAGGATGCTCAATGAACTTAGGAGAAGAACAGATGAACTCAATGAGAACTTTAACAGAGACAGAAAACATAAAAATGGAGATGGAAAACATAAAAAAGAACCAGTCAAAAATTAAGAATACAATAACTGAAATAAAGACTATATTAGAGGGAATCAACAGATTATGTGAAGCACAGAATCAAATCAGTGATTTGGAAGACAAGGTTGCAGAAAATATCCAATCAGAACAGGGGAGAAAAAAAAAAGAATCCAAATAAAATGAGGATAGTTTAATGCAGCAGTCGCCAACTGATGGTCTGCAGACCACAGGTAGTCCGTGAGGTCCAAAAGGTTGGCAATCGCTGGTTTAAGGAAACCTTTGGAGCAGCAGTTGCCAACCGGTGGTCCACGGAGCACTGGTGGCCGTGAGGTCCGAAAGGTTGGCAATCACTGGTTCAAGGCACCTCTGGGACAACATTAAGTGTAACAACATTCATGTCGTAGGCGTACCAGGAGAAGGAGAGAGCTAAATGTTGAAAACATATTTAAAGAAATAATGACAGAAAACTTCTCTAACCTGGCGAAGTCAATAGACATACAAGCCCAGGAAACAGAATCCCAAACAAGATGAACCTAAAGAGGCCCACACCAAGACACAGCATAATTTAAATGCCAAAGGTTAAATACAAAGAGTGAATCTTAAAAAACAGCAAGAGAAAATAACTTAGTTATCTACAAGGGAGTTCCCATAAGACTGTCAACTGATTTCTCACCAGAAAATTTGCAGGCCAGAAGGGATTGGCATGAAATATTCAAAGTGATGAAAAGTAAGGACCTGCAACCAAGATTACTCTACCCTGCAAAGCATCGTTTAGAATGAAAGGACAAATAAAGAGCTTCCCAGACAAGAAAAAGCTAAAGGAGTTTACCACCACTAAACCTGTAGTACAAGAAATGTTAAAGGAACTTCTTTAAGAAGAAAAAAAAGATTACAAAGTATGAATATTAAAATGGCAATTTCTACATGTCTATTAACAATTACTTTAAATGTATTTGGGTTAAATGCTCCAATCAAAAGACATGGGGTGTCTGAATGGATAAGAAAACAAGACCCACGCTCATTCTGTCTACAAGAGACCCACTTCAGATTAAAAAAAAACAAACAACGCACTGACTGGAAGTAAAAAGATGGAAAAAGACATATCATGCAAATGAAAATGGAATAAAAGCTGGAGTAGCAATACTTATATCACAAAAAAAATTAGATTACAAAACAAGCTATAGCAAGAGACAAAGGACTCAGCAATTCCACTTTTGGATATTTATCCAAAGAAACCAAAAACACTGATTCAAAAAGACATATACATCCCTATGTTCACTGCAGCATCTACTAGGATCTATATAATAAAAGATATACATGTAAATTGACCATCCCTCCACTACGCTTACCAGCCAATCAGGAGTGAGTATGCAAATTAACCTGACAAAGATGGTGGGTTAATTTGCATACACAGGCGCCAGGTGGAGAGCAGAGCGGGCGAGCCGGCGGAGAGTGGAACAGCTTGGGGAACTTGCCCCCGCCCCCCCAAGCCGCTAGACCAAGAGCAGAGAGGGAGAGCTGGCAGCTTGTAGGACTTGGCAGAGTGGGAGGCCGCGGGACGGAGACAAAGCAAGAAGGGAAAACCAAGAGCGCAGGGAGCACCAGGAATTCTGGGAATAGTAGTTCTGGTGGCAGCCCCAGGATCAGAAGCTGAAGCCCAGAGCACAGGGAGCACCAGGAATGCTGGGAATCTAGGAATGACGGATCTCCTAGACACTAGAGCAAAGTGAGCCTGGAGCAAGTTACAGTTGCGGTGGGGGATGGAGGGAAAGCAAAGATGAGAGACATAAGTAAAATCAGAGTATCTAGGAAAAATTAAAGGGAAGATTTCCTAAAACTTCCAGGAAATCTCCACCAATGAAGCAAAGAAAAAAAAAATGCCTCTATTATTCTGTGAGCAACAAACCAAATTGAGTTGGGGTCTCAGACAATTTGCTCATATAATTGCAAAGACAGACAGAAACTCCCAATTGGAGAGGACTCCCCTGAGGGATCCCAGATTGGAGAGGATGCAGGTCAGGCTAAGGGACCGGAACACTGTAACGACAGGAATGACCGGTTGCCATGATGCCCACTGTGGCCAGCGAACCAGCCCAATGGGGGTTGGGGCCGTCCGGCCAACCTCCTGCAGCCCCTCCCCCCAGCCAGCTCCACCCTTGATCGCCCCCCTACCCCCACA